GTGTGTGTGTGTGTGTGTGTTTTCCTGAAGATACAGTCCTCTAATCTGTGGCCTTTTCCAGCTGCTACAACCGAGGAAATGATGAATAAGTAATTTCCTGTGAACAGGTTGTGCAGCCTCAAGTGTGGAGCTGTGGTGAACGGACAGATGGAAGCAGGAGGATGAGAGGAGAGGGCGGAGGGGGAGGATGCAGTAACTTAATGGGAAGAAGAAAAAAAGCATTTGAAGATGAAATCTCCTGCAAAAACTCCACATTTCCTGCAAGTTCACACTAAAATAATACTCTGGTGTGTTTGAACGACGGTGCAGTAGAACTCCACTATAGCTGTAGATTTGTCTATAATCAGATTTTTGCAATCATGGCTCTTCTAGCTTTGTTTTTTGTCTTACAGTTGAGAATCAAAGTCATGGACAAACAGACAGACAGTGTGATGGAGGGGTAAGTCAATTATTTCAATAAACCCTATGATTCAGATATTTTCTCGGATGTTTTACACATTTTCATTCCCATAACATGTCGTGCAGGGTTACCATAAACCCCTTTTCTTTGATGACAACACAAATCCTCCTTTTCAACCAAAGCTCTGCAGCCTTTTCCTTTTCTTTGCTGGTATTTTCAGTATTTGGAACAAATTCTTTGTCCCCACATTTTCAGGAATTCCTGTATTTGCATTCATGCAGCATCTGAAATAAAAACCAAATTCCTGGTGTTTCTTCCCATAACCGAACTGGCTGACAGGCGAACACTCAGTTATTCTGATGCAAAGTGAGCTGTGCTGATAGTGAGGCTCCTTGATGAAGCAATGAATAGAAGGGCTCCTTTTCAATTCACCACAGTTCCCATTCAACCCGCATGAATAGTCGCATCAAATCCAGTCTGGGCCTCGAATAAGAGGCTGAACTTCGGGGCAGCAACTGCCGCACTAAAACATTTACCTCGTTATACAACTGTCAGTGTTTTGGACCAAACTTCCTAGGAAGCATCTGCAGTCTCTTCTCTGTTAAAGGTTTGAGTTAATAAGCAGTTTTTATTCTGAAAATAAAGAGAATTAAACATCAAGCTCTTTGAAGGAAAAGAGGAAGAAATGTTGATACCAGGTGTGTAATGATTAAAAACCTGATCCTCATTTCGAATCACTGAGAGAAGTATGCATCTTCTACAAAAATGCATCACAATAACTGTCATGTTAAAACCGTTCATACACTTCCATTATCGTTCAAATTCTATACACTTTTCCTTTGAGTCTGGTTCAGATTCAGTTGGCTGAAGTGCGGCAGGCTTTCCGTCATGTGGAATAAATGAAAACATCAACCTGACTGATTTAGCCAGTCGCCTCTGTCAGTCTGAGACGCTGAGAAATCCTTCTCTCAAAGGTCCAAGGTGACTTTGGCCTGCGGAATGAATATAAGAGCCCTTCACTGATCTCCGGCCGCTTCATAACTGGCCTCATAAGATATCCATCACATCTCCATCGGCCGCTGACTGAGCAGAACGACAGAGCACGTGGAGGGCGGTCAGATAAATCCATGGCTTTCATCTGGCGCTTCAAAAGGACAGGTGAGACATGTCTGATATTTTCTAGAACTTGACTGCTTTTAGTATGTAAGGTGAAAGTTTACAGTTCAGCATTAAGACGTATAGCCGATGGAAAAAATTGTTTTTCGGATGATGTGAAATTCAAATAAAGCTCTCAGCAGGAAAAGCGATAGTAATAAAGCAAAGACACTTTAATTTGAAGTTAAGAGGGATAAGAAAAACATGGCCTGACTTAAGAGATTAATTAGGATGATGCATTTTAATTCAAGACGTAAAAGCAGTCGCTCCTCGCTCCTCTCCAGCTGTTGGTCTAATTAGCTGCCTTGTTGGAAACTTTGGGTGCAACCTTTTAAAGGCTCCCTCAGGCGTGACTGAGAGTGGTGTGAGTGTTCCCCGCTGCAGCATCTTTTCTCTCTTTTCCAGATCTTACTGCTTCGCTTGCCAGAGCTCAAAGTGTAGTTCCCTTTGAGCTTCGGTGGACTCATCGATGCCTCAGGGGACATTGCTCTTGATTAGATCTTTTGTATGTGATGGTGGATTTAGTACAGGTCTGTGTTTGAAGATCACACCGTCAGAAAATTGGTCTCCAAATTTGGATCTGCACAAAATTACACATGCAGATATCGGCTCCTTAAACTATGCTGCATTGTTGATAATCAAGATCAATGAGTTATTCTCTTGGTAATTGGTGATGTTGTCAAAATCTCACAATGTTGCAGAAAGTGATGATAAAACACTTAATTCTCCCCATTTGTCCTGATCCATGCCAAGATTTAATGGTTTCTTTTCTGGCCAATGTCCCTTTTCCACCAAGTATTATGAAAATGATGATGTCCTTTTTGTTTTTGTTGTCTAAATATGAACTTTTCTTACATCTTGATTTTACCTGACAGAAAGCAGGACATATAATGTCTAATATGTATAATGGACCCTATGCATGTTTTCACCTCAAACTCTAGAAACTTGTCTTCTGTCCAAATGTCCCCACATTGTTTCTCAAACAGCCTTTTAAAGTTATTTTTAAACTGATCTGAAATTGCATCATGTGATAGATTGCTTTTTTTCACCAAGGAAGTAAAAAAAAAGTTTTTGGAAACATTTAGTGTGAATTTCACAAAATATTTTCACATGCACAAGACAGAAGAACATCCTTCCACTGCTCCGTGTTATTTGTATTAACAGTGTCACACAGACCACAGCAGCCGCAGAGGGATTTCGGCTCGCTGGTGGCGTTTAATCACCAAACTCCCAATGAACCGAGCCTCATTAATCTGAGGAGCGTCCTGCAGCACGAGCCATTTACCCTTCATCTCCACTCAACCTTATTTATAGAGGCTGTTCAGAGCGCAGAACAATTCATACAGTGTGTTGGACATTATTTACTTCAAAGGCAGGTTTATTGTGGTTATTTTTATATTGGTAGATAGTTCATTTTATTTCCTGATAATTGAAATATAAATTCAACCAAAGTGGTAAAACATGATTTCATTGCAGTCTGTTGTTTTTACACTTGTAGTGTTGAATCCTGTTTCTCCCAACGAAAGTAATTTTCAGAAGAGTTGAAGTAAATGATTCTTAGTGCGGGACCACCCTAATTGAAAATGAGAAAGAAAGTAGAAGAAGAAGAGAGGGAGAGGAGCACTAGGGGAGTGGAAGAAGAATCAGGTTATACAACATTAGTCTCTGTGTGTCAAGTATGGCGATAACGTGGTGAAGAGAGATGTCGCATGATTCATTGGTTTGTCTTTTACAATGTGAAAACTTGACAAACTAATAGTGTCTGGAGCATCATTTAGCATGTGTGCGATCGAAATGGTTTAAAATGTCGTCTTTTCTTACACATTCCATAACGTGAAACTCTCTACACCTTACACATGGTGCCCTCTTGCTCTGGTCTGGAGAGTTGAGTTGTTTTCTACATACGAATCATAACAAATGTCCTGAAAATTGGGTCTCGACACTTTATGGAGTTTGTTGCATGTAAGAAAGCAGCAAATTAAATCGACCCGTCAGTGCTTATCATCAAAAGCTCTGGAATCTTCGTCTTCTGCATGTATGGCTCTATTATTTCACCCTGAGATATTTGTATTCTTCCAGTTCACGTCCCTCGCCTACTTGCTTGAATACTTGCTTGCCTGAATACTCATACCGGCTTACTTTGACATTTTCCAAATATTTTACTAGGGGACTGGCAGGAAAAGTCGGGACTAACGGACTTGGACATTTGCGTTCTCACGCACAGCTCTTCCGGGATATATCCGGAATATGTCTGAACTTCAGCTGCTTAAAGGGATAGAAAATTCACTCATTATCTACTCACCAATATACCGATGGAGGGGAAATTGCATGTTGCAGCTGAACACCCCTCACCTCAACCTCCCCTTCCAAACATGAAAAAGAATCTGTGGCAGCTTCAGTTGTCATAAAAACTCAAAAGGTGTTTAGTTTGTCCAGTCTGGACTAATGTAAAAAACATGGCGGCCTCCGTAGAGAGGGTCCCCTTGATGTAAATATAAAGTATTTAAATATAAAGAGCCTTTTCTGGGGTAAAGAAAACTACAATTCATACAATTTATATGAAACGAACTAGTGAAAACATCATGACAATTATTTTCCATTAAATTTCTGGCAATAGTTCCCTTTCACATAATTCTTACACACTGGACCTTTAAATTGAGCTATTTAGAAAAATGTAATGTCAAAGAGGACAAACCTTCATTAAAAGAAACAACAAATCAATAAAACAAGTAATAGAAGAGTAATGAGGAATAGATTACTTCATTGCTGAGTGTGTGTCTCCAGTAAATCAATCACACGATTAATTGATTAATAAAGTCAATTCTGCTATTGGCTGTGTGTATGTGTGGCCCCGCCCTCTCCGTGACGCCACTAGTCTTCACCCGACACGCCAGCCCTCCTCCTCCTCCTCCTCCAGTCCTCCGGCTGACCGGAGCAGAGGAGCGTCGCGTCCCGTCCGTCTCCTCCGCGTCTGTCCCCCGCTGAAAACTTCTGGAACTGGAAACTATCGCTGCTTCTCTTCGTTGGTCTTGAACTGAATTCCACCGTTCGTGTTTTTCACCTTGAAGACAAATGACGCGCGGAGCGAACGAGAGGAGGAGGAAGAAGAAGTGACAACGGGGTCTTCATCAGCTTCTCCGAGGCTCCCAGCCAGCGAGAGGTCAGCCCATATTCAAATCAAATTTAGACTTTATTACTTCTAATTACATTTTTTAACGAAATATTCCTTCAGTTTCATTGTTGATCTAATAGAACAGTGTATGGAGGGAAATTCGGCTGCACTCACTTCTCTCTACAGTATAAATATGTTTGATTCCTTACTTAATGATTCCTCCTTGTTAGCCTGTGTGACGTTTGTGAAGTTCTACTATTCTTCTGACTGTTGAATGTTTTCTGCTGCCTGTGCTCCAACATGGATTTTATTGAAATGATGCAGGTTATTATGGTTATTTTGTGATACTGCACACTTAAGTGTGTCCCCTGAGCTTTCAACTAAATCATATGACTGCTCTGTCATGAAATACATTAATGCAGCAAAATTCACTATCATGGATTGACGCCACCACCTAGGACCCTTCTTACATAGAGTCAACTGTTTGGAATATATTTTTATATATATATATATATCCATATCCCAAACATCCCACCTGAATAACCTGAGTTGATGGTGTTCCAGTTGCACAGGATGTTTACAGCTTTCTGTTGTGAGCAAACACTGTTCATCATAACGTATTACGTGGTATTTCATGCATTTTACTGCCATAGTAAAACATCCATATACAGGACATTACTATGTGTACAACACATTTAATGACAGAAGTGCTAATAAGCTGTAAAAACTACAGTTTTCACAACCATTTTGGATTTTGAAGTTGGGGGTGGTGATGTTCCTCCGACCTTCCGAGTCAAAATTCTGATTTGAGGTGGCGTTCCAGTTGCAATTTCTGACTCGGGTCGGAAATCTGAGCTCCAAGGTTTAATGGAACGCGACATCAATGTGGGCAACCATCTGCATCGACCGGTTGGGGTGAACAGAGAAAAATGGGGAGGAGAGGGGGAGAGAGAGGAGTGAGACCAGGAATTTGCAGTTCTGGAATAAAGTGCCCCTCCTCCCAGCACTGCGTTCTAAAGGCATTTTTTAATTTCCAGGGAGAAACTCTTCAGCCTAAACTCTTCACCTCCTCCTCTTTAGGGTATTACTCTGCTTTATTTCAGTTATACCGTTGTCATATTCCTATTTTATCTCCTCTGTATTTATTATAGGTGTAAACTGAGAGCTAGCCCGTCTTTCTTTTTATTCCCTCTCTCTCTCTCATTTCTTTATGTTAACTGTAGAGTGTTGCATGTTTATATATGTTCTTAAATTAGCGTAGAAACACAGACAGCTACGGGGGGAGCTCTGCAGCAGAAGCGAGGTGAAAATGACCGGAGATGATAAGTTGACAATTAGCAGCCACCGTCACATTTGTGCACGAGGAAGTGAGCATACACGCCTGCCAGTAAGGTCATCTGATAAGCTGTAAATCCTCTCTCTCTGTGTCTTAAGGCAGCCCCACGCACACTGTCTTAAGAGGAATTTGCATTTTTCTAGTTAGCAACTCTTTTGCCTTCTCCTCATCCACAAGTCTTTCGGTTTCTTCTCCTCTCTCCTGCACTGCCTCCCCTCTCTCTTTTTTCCTCCTTTACTGTTGTTTCCATTTCCTCCTCCTCCTTATTGTTTCTCCTCATTTCTTCTTTTCCTCCTTTTCCTACCACCTTCTTCTGTGTCTATGTCTGCCTACTCTTTCCTCCTTATCTCCCTCCTACAGAGCTCCTCTCCTTTCTCCTCATCCTCCTCATCCTCCTCACCTCACTTTTCACTTTGTTCTTTCTTCCCTCTACTTCTTCCTCCTCATCTTTTCTTACCTTCGTAACTCTACTTTTCCTCTATTTCTTCCAAACACTTTGAACAAATATTTTCTCCTCTTCACCAATTCTTGTCCACTTAATCATATCTTCCTCCCTCCTCTATGTTACACATGCATGACCACAAACTGATGTGAAAGTGTCACTAAATACCCCAACCTACACACACACACACACACACACACACACACACACACTCTCTGTTGTCTCCACCCCTGAGGCTAAGCCTGAAAACTAGCATGTCATCGTTTTCCAGCTCCACGTGAAGGTGCACTCCATTTTGTAATGAATGACCACTCAGCACAACTCTCGCACACACACACACACACACAGATTTGGATCAACACACAGTCCTTTACACTGTAGCTCGAAAATGTACTCCTGAATATCTTTTTCTCCGTACATTACTGACATCTTATTTTCTGCACGCTCTGTTAATCTACATATATTTATACAGCTACAATAGACCATATAATAATCTCATTAACAAGTATAATAAACTGATTAAAGTAATTATCCAAAGCTCCCACTGGGATTTTGAAGCCTGAACAGCATCCGATGAGCTCCAGTCCGAGGTGCAAACAATGCATGACTGTTCAAATAATTCTGTTAATAGATTTCACATGCAAACCCTCTGATGAACATGCTTTATTAAAACATTGTACCCTATGATCCATCTTTACATACAATCAGTGGGGCTAAAAGTAAAGGTTGCAAATGTCCCGAGACATTTTCAACAGTAAATAGGTTTTTAAGGAAACAAAAGTGTAAGCGAACAAATGTTTCTATTAATATAACAAAGTTCAATCTTTCCCTTATCTTATTCGTACCTGAACAAGACTGTATTTGTACGTGTGGATCCTGTTGAGAGTATGAGGACTTGCTGCAGTGTTTCCAGAGCGAGCAGGGACTGCTTTGATAACTACCTCCACTGGTGCTTTCAAGGACTCTAGGACTCAAGGTCCTCTCTGGCTTAAATTTTTATTAAATTCATGCCTTTCACCAGATTTTTTACTCTTTGACCTCACTGTGATTTAATGAAAACAGTCATGTTGTCTGCTGCATCGCCACATGACTCACTAACACTGCCTCGAAGGTAGAAAACGTAAACATGTAAATAAGAATCCAACAGTATCTGTTAAAAGAAGATGATGTCTCTTAAAAACTATGATGTGTCGGGCGGTTTAATTTGCCTCTGGCTTGAAGTGAAACAGTGAAATCTGTTTGGAGCTGAAAAATAAGTTTTAAACGTGAAAGATGAATGTCTTAGATACTGCATCACATCATCGCTCTTGCATGATGAGTTAAAAATGTATGTAAATACGTAATACGTTTTATCACATCATTCTTTGTGATTTGCTTCCCGGCTGTTTTTCCTGCAAAAAGAGACGTGGAACTTAAATTACAGCATTCTGAACACTTAATGTTGCAAACTAAACTACCTGCTGGCCTGAAGTTGACCCTATGAAATGCAGATTCTTCTTCCTGGGCGCTAACCTCACTTCTTGTGAAGAATTTCCTTCAACGCTGAGGTTAGAAGCAGCATTAAAACTCTGTACTTATCAGGCTCATTTACCTGTAAATTCACCCCCGAGGGCAGTCATATTTTTCCGAAGAATTTCTGCGATGATGAACAGTGGCAGTTGGGGCAGAGCAGCACAGCAGACTAATGTACTTGACCAAATGCCAAGTGGAAGGTTTTATTTAATAATTTATTATTTCTGCAGGTTGGTCTGCAAGGTAAAAACATTTAATAAAGCTGCAGGAATATAATGTTTCTCTGTGTGTTGTACCTCACAACAACAACAAAAACCTGAGCCTTTAATAAAGGCAGGTTAATGAGGAAGAAGTATCAGCTTCAAGGGAAAAACTTGCCCTTCATTTTTAATCATTTTTTCTAAATTAGTAACAGCTTTATCTTTGATTTATTAGACGTCTCATGAATCAAAGGCACATCAGCGATAAGGGCTTTCCTTGAGGGAAGTTGCAAAGATGTGGGACATCATCACATTCTGTGGAATGACAGCCCAAAATGCATATTCTCATAGATTTTCAAATGCAGATACGTTCAGAGACTTGCAGCCATGATTTCTTGCATTGGAAAAAGAGAAGTTAAAAAGTTCCAGCCGCAGCAGTTTGTCTGAGAGACAACTGTGTGCCAGTGTACAGTCAAATTATGAACTGTGTGCTGGCACGTTGTTGCTGCTTCTCATAAAGTCTCATAAAATGTGCTGGTGTGGATCATAGACTCTATTAAAGATGAACGACATGGCAGCTCCCTAAAAGTTAATCCATTGTATCTTTATTGCCTAGTGGATGGCACCAGTATAGATCATAAATGTGCATCAAATAAAAAGAGGACAACATTTCTCTCATTGATCATATTTTTTGGGCATTTGTCTGGAGGGATCTCTGAGGAATGTACCTTTAATATATTTCAACTTCACATTGAAAACTGCAGCATTACTCTTTCACATTCTAAAGAAAGTCCACAGGGGACACAGTAGCCAACATGAACTGCACAGACATTCACGCTGAATTTTCTTTGGTCATTCTTATGTACAACGACATTTTTTCCCTGAACTCATCAGTTAGGTGCTGTACTCACTGCACCTATGCTGAAAATGCTGTAAATGAAGTTGACCTTTAACGACCAAGAAAAGCAGCATTTTAATATTTTTGGTTTGAAAAGAACAAACAACATATCGAGGAGTTAGAAAAGCAGCAGCTTGTTCCGCAGACAAACATGTTTGAACAATTGTTGAACAATCTCCTGAAGTTGTCATTTTTTAAACTGATAGTGAAGAATTGGTTTGTTTGATACTGATTTAGGCGTTTTTAGCCTTTGATTTAGTTCTTCAGCCTGACAGACATAATTCATTGGTAGATTTAAAAGTGATGTGCAAGTGATTTAGTTTAATCTTTGACATGATAGATTTTGTTTTACAGCAACACGTTAACAGCTCTGCCTGTCTCATTCTACATCCTACAATCTGTTCATTTCGAACAGCTGCGATGGGGAAGCGATAAACTCTGTGTGCATATGGCTGCTGGAAATAGTTATTATAGCAACATTCATCCAGGGATTAGGACCGGCTGACTCTCGGCTAATTAAACTTTCGACTCCCCGGCGTGCTCCCCGCTCCTCTATCCTGTCAGCCTGACTTAAACAAGTTCATAATTTCACTGAGTGCAGCACTGGAGTAAAGAAATATCCCTGTTGCCTATTTTGAGAACGGCTAACCCACAAGCCCTCCAGCAGTTTGCTGCAGATCCCCTGAAAGCACATTTTTTTAAAGCATTTCCTCTCTCTGTAATTGAAATTTCCTGCTTATATGAGGTAAATAAAAAGTTAAATGGAGTTCATTCCCCAGAAAGCTGTATATACTTTGTTATTTAAAGAATCCTGTCAGTAAAAGTATTCAGAGTCTTGGGTTTGATGACTCTTTCCCCTCAAATCTGTGATGTTTTCTCTGATAACAGGAGGTTTCAGCTTCCAGGAGGCTGATTGTGGATCTGCAGAGGTCATTTAGAGGAATACAGTGTGCTCTCAGCCTCCTGCTGCGTTTCATGTCGCAGAGAACAGCAGCTTCCAATTCCTCTCATTTTCTTCTTTTTTTCCCCCCTCGGACTCTGTCAGATCCATCCTCTCCTCCTGCTGCATTTAACAGGGATCACCTCGGCATTATATTAAAGTGGGTGACAGTGTCTTTGTCTGTCGGCTTGTTATTGATTGCAGGCTCGCTCTGGCTGCTCACTTTGGAGCGGGAGGAGGGTTTTTTTATCGACAGGTGACACGCTCCCTGATGAGGGGAGACGGTGCAGGATGAAAATGAAATGTCAACTCGTGGAGTTTGAATGGCTTCCAGCATGAGCTCCCAGGTGAACAGATGCAGCCATTAAACAAGGACAGCTCAGCTCTGCTACAGCAGGGGGAAGTGATCAGAAATATATTTCTACATTAATACAATTAGTATATCAGCCCAGTGCATTTAAAAAAAATTCAACAATCACAGAAAGTGAACGAACAACATGGGAACTTTAATTATGTTGACATGTTTTTATATTTTTCAGACATGAAAAATATGATGAACATCCTCCTGTGACATCTTCACTTTCATGTTCAGACTTTGTATTTGTATTTTTTGCAAATAGGGTGTTCAGTACTTGACCATTTTGCTGAGGGAAGGAAAAGGAATGGACCTTTTTTTTAATCTTATCTGATAAAGTTGTCCTTGGAGGACCAACGTAATAAAAGGGAATATTCTACATATCACCATTTTTAAAAATGAAATGAAATTGATCTCCAAGCCTTGAAATCTTACATTAGTTCCCCTTTTTTGACTGGGTTAGTATGATGGTCACGTGTCTAGATATGTTTACGATGGGTCTAAGTTTGTGCATAAGGCAAAAGCCTTATTGCTGTTTAATTATAGTAAAGACATGTCATATTTTGTTCTTCTTGGTTGTTTGACGTGTGAAGACACTTTATCTGGAGGAATTTCTGACCAGCTGTTCGGAGACTAAAAGCTCTGCATCCAACACTGGAAGATTCTGAATAATTTATATCCAACCTTGCTAATAATAGCTCATTATTTGCTGGGTGGTTTTCTCAGGTTTGACTGAAAACAGGATGCCGGTGAACACACTGCATACGAATAAAAATTATTTTATTGGGAAAATTCAGCTCCAAACATTGAAGCTCTAATTAAGATGATCAGTGAATATAATTTACACGGCAGCTTCCACAATCTGTGTTGCCTTTTAATAAGATTAAAATGGCATAATTAGCATGCAAATGCAAATGTTCCCGCTGTTGCCGTTCTGCCACATCCTGTCTCCTGCGACTGAAGGGAACAATATTTTGGAGCCAAACAGTTTAGTGCAGCCACTTTAAACAGATTACAGTCATCAGCCGACTTTGTGTTTTCATACCCAAATTGAAGGATAATATCAACTAAGAGATTTGATTAGTGCTGCATATAAATAACTGTAATGTCTTTATAGAAAAGTGTGTTTTACACAGTTTCCGACCTTTGTCATCGTCACTTTCATTCAAAACTTAGATCTCTTCTGATTCTGTTCCTATAATGCTTTTCGTTTCCTCCTCCCCTGAATCATCTCTCTCTCTCTCTCTCTGAGTTCTTTGCATTGATTTGGATAATAGTCTCCCTGTTCAGCAGGGAGCTCCTTTCTCTCCTCAGCACATCCTTCATAACTCAAAAAAAGAAGTGATATTTGTCAACCTTATTTTCTGCATCTGCGCTCTGACCTTTGCTGCTGTTTATTATGTTACTGATCTAGAAAATTAAGCTTCACGCTGCAGTAATGCTTTTAGATTTCTCTCCATAGCTGAGCATCAACCAGACTCCTGAATGCAGATGTGTTTAATATTTGCTGGCTGCTTCAACTGTGAAATCTTTTGTTTGTTTCCGTTCCAGATGAAAAGCTGCCAATGAGAGAACTCTACGATAAGTACCAGCCATGGCTGCCCATCGAATCATCAGAGTAACAAACAACAACCATGTCCTCCCTCGCTGCAAGTCTGAGGGGACACTCATCGACCTCAGTGAAGGAGTCACTGGAGCCAGTCTCAATGATGTCAAAGGTCAGTGTTTCAGTAACATCTTGCCACATATTCTGTTTAAATGTACCTGAAAAATACTTTATTATTTAAGTATTGAATCATTTGAATGTTTCGATTTGTTAATGGCTTAATATTTCTAGAATTGAAACAATCTGTTGTTTTAGAATTATTTGCTTTTCATCTTTTGCAAATCAATTATTTAGTCATAATAAATAATAATTTTTTTTTAATTTCTTGGCTCTTTCACTTCAGCGATTGAATTAGAGCTTTGTTTACATGCTCCATATACGCCAATGAGGCAGACTAAAAATAGGAAATTGTGCAGCTCATTTAACTAGTGATCTGTAAATGTTCTAGCTGCTTTCAGACGATGATGTTGATGATAATCTGCCAGTGACGGATTAAGCACACTTGTCTAAAATAGATCCAAACCAACTACAAACACTTTGCAATGAAGACAATAGAAGAATTGATAGTTTTATGAGTGATTGTGATTTGGTCTAATGTCTTTTTTCTTTTCCAGTGCCTTCTCCCAGTGCCTTAAGGCTAGACACTTCCTCCTCCCTTGGAGCTGCACAGGAAGTGGTAGCCATAAAGGATTATTGCCCCAGCAGCTTCACCACACTGAAATTCTCCAAAGGCGATCGCCTCTATGTGCTGGACACATCAGGTGGAGAGTGGTGGTATGCCCACAACAACACAGAGATGGGCTACATCCCAGCCGCCTACGTCCAACCGGTCAACTTCAGGAACTCTTCGCTTAGCGACAGTGGGATGATCGACAGTCTCGGGGAAGGATATGAGGATGGGTCAAAAGAGTTTGGAGGTTTGGGGGAGTGGACAGGTGTGACCATTAGACCCTCCCCAATTTACAACAACAGCCCCTTCTCTGTGAACCCACTTATCTGTTCTTTAGATCAAAACTGCAAAGATGTGGGTATAAGGAACTCAGCAGATCTTATTCTGTTTGATGCTTTGGCTTCACCATCATCTTGCTCAATAAATGGGTTCAGCAGCTGCCATGTTAACACAACCACCCCCACCAGCCCAAACCAAGAAGTTGTACCTAACCTCCACAGGGATAATCCATTTTTCAGGAGTAAACGTTCTCATAGTCTCTCAGAACTCTCTGTCCTGCAAGCACAGTCTAATCCAACCTTACCATCTTCAGGATTCTTCACGGGCCTTAAGGCTCCTTCACCAGAGCAGTTTCAGAGCAGGGAGGATTTTAGGACTGCTTGGTTAAACCACAGAAAGCTCGCCAGATCATGTCACGACCTCAACTCTTTGGGCCAAAGTCCTGGGTGGGGCCAGACACAGCCTGTGGAAACCAACATAGTGTGCATGTTGGACAGTAATGGAGGAGTTGTTCAGCTTCCAGACACCCATATCAGCGTGCACATTCCTGAGGGCCACGTCAGCAATGGAGACCACCAGCAGATCTCCATGAAAGCCTTACTGGACCCTCCACTGGAGCTCAACACTGACCACTGCTCCACTTTGAGCCCTGTGTTGGAGATAAAGCTCAGCAACATGGAGACAAAGTCCTTCATCACGTTGGAGATGAAGGTATCAGTAACTGTAAAGAAAGACAGTTGTCACACTGCTGAAGTGCTTTGTGTTCGGAGCGATTGCAAAGAGGGGCCTTACATACCAATTCCTAACGCTTACATTTACAAGGATACAGTTCAAGTGCAGTTGGACAGCTTAGAACCCTGCATGTATATTGCTGTTGTGGTTCAGTCACAGTATCTAAACCACAATATGACTGTTTGGGACCATGTGCAAAGGAAAGTAACTTTGGGCGTTTATGGACCCAAGCACATCCACCCGTCTTTCAAGGCTGTTGTCGCCATGTTTGGACATGACTGTGCCCCCAAGACCTTGTTGGTGAGCGAAGTGGGACGACAGGCATGTTCAACTCCACCAGTGGCCCTTCAGCTGTGGGGGAAGCACCAGTATGTGTTGGGATACCCTCAGGACCTCCAGGTGGGATTGTATTCCAACATGTCCAACTACCAGGTGAAGGCGAGCGAGGGCGCTGGTGTGATTCGGGGATTTCAGGTCAAACTGGGGAAGGTCAGCAGGCTCCAATACATGATAACATCACACAACCCCGACAGCATCTCAGACTTCACTCTCAGGGTTCAAGTCAGGGATGCCCTCGACTGTATTATCACCCAGTTCTGTGTCCAAACTCCACAGCCACCGCCAAAGACTGGAGTAAGGATAACAGGTCAAAGAAGGTTCTTGAAAAAGAAAGAGCTGGACAAGATTGTCCTCTCACCGCTGGCTGTTACCTCCAAATACCCAAAGTTTCAGGACCGGTGCATTACCAACCTGAAATTTGGAAAGTTGATTAAAACGGTGATCAGGCAACACAAGAGTACCTATTTGTTGGAGTACAAGAAAGGGGATGTTATTGCTTTGCTTAGTGAGGAGAAAATCAAACTGCGAGGGCAGCTGCGGACAAAAGAGTGGTACATTGGATACTATCAGGGGAAGATGGGTCTTGTCCATGCCAAAAACGTTTTGGTTCTGGGTAAGGTCAAGCCCATTTATTGGTGTGGGCCAGACCTAACGACCACCATCCTACTGGAGCAGATCCTGAAGCCTTGCAAATTTCTTACCTACATTTACGCAACAGTGAGGACGGTTTTAATGGAGAATGTGGGGAACTGGAGAGCGTTTGCAGATGCCCTGGGGTATGGGAATTTGCCATTGAATTATTTTTGCCGGACAGAGCTGGACAACGAGCCAGAGCGGGTGGCGTCAGTTCTGGAGAAACTCAAAGAGGAGTGTACCAATATGGAAAACAAGGAGAGGAAGTCTTTCCAGAGGGAACTCATGATGGTAAGAGAAAAGTGTTTAGTTCAGTCATTTTTACTCTGCACTATGGCTTCTTCAGGTTTTAGTCACAATATTCTATTTTAGGAGTATGGTAAAACTGAGCATTAAAATATTTTCTGGCATTGATAACAATCATTTGCCACAGAAGATTTCCACAAACTTTGCATAAGCCTTTAATTTAGTTTTCTTTGACTTGACTAGAATCCCTTTGTATTTTCTCCAATATTGTGTCGCACCTAAAACAAACCACTTGATAATTTCAGCACACTGTATTATTTAGACATCTAATCTTTGTCTTTTGACTAAGACATGCTGGAGGAGGAAGAAAAAGGGCAACCATTTTAGATCTCATTAAGCAAGGCACTGAAAGTTGCTTCCTATTTTAATGTTCCACTTATGTTCTTCTTTTTAGTCTCCACTAATATTTAACCAGCACTTCTACATTTTTTATCTAAAGGTCAAAACCATGAACATGAGCTTTTAAATTGTGATATTGTGGCAATGAGGAACTGTCCTTATACCATAAGCTAAGTATGGGGCACTGACTTGTTTTTATGTGGGCTCTTACGACCAAATTAAGTCTAATCATCTTATCATCATCACTTGCCTTATTTAACAACCTGTGCTAAACATGGAAATAATACATTCAATATAAAAAATATTGGAGAAGCTGGTTAGATATAATATTTGCATTTATGATATAACTGCAATTATCCTGAAATAAACCTGATGCCATTCTCCTCTATCCTTAAACTGTTGCAGGCATCTTGCTGAAATACCATTTAGATATACTTCCCAGATAAATATAAAGATGAAAATGTTATACCATAACCCTGCCGCAGCGGCTAAAACGATGTACATTATGAAGCAAGTGAGAGAAGACTTCTATCAGTGTCTCTCAGCTGGATGCTGCATCATTAGTTGAGCCTTGTTGAAGCTGAAAAGCACAAAAATCCAATTTCCTAAACAGATAGTTGCCCTGTGCCTCATTTAATAACACATCGCAACCATGATGGCTCGCAGCATAATTTTTTCCACAGTGTGATAGAGAAGTTAACACAGCAGTGGATTTTCACTCTTGTCAAGTCCCATTCTGTTCCAATGTGGTGTTAGGGGGTTAATCTTTAGGCTGTGATTGTCTCTGGGAGTTCTTGTTAACAATTTTTGCTAACCTGTTTCAGTCAGGTATTGAAAAATGAAACTTGAATCCATGACCCACTGGATTCCCAAAAAAATGTCAGCATCAAATGTGATCCAATCTGAGTCAGGATTGGAATCTTTACTTTGCTGTACCGGAATGCTAAACTTGTGTTAAGCCTGAGGTGGCTCATAGCGGGAACAGCTATCACATGAATAATGAGGGGCAGGAAGCGCTGCAGGAGAAAAGCCTAGGGGAAAGCACATGAATAAAATTTAACATCTGGAGTTTGAGCGAAAACAACTTTGTCAAACGGACACACACAGGCCTCGGTGTGTTTTTCTTCTCCGACAGCGCTGGCGCCCTGAGGGAAGAAAAAATAGTCCTGAGACATTCCCCTTGTTAGATGCCATTATTAAAAAAGTACTTTAGCAAAATACATTTTCCAACTGCTGTTTATCCAGGCAGCAGTGATGAAGCGTGCATTGACATGCTCGTTGTAGCCACAGGTTTGAGCTGGCAGTCACAGCAGCAGCTGGGGGTAAAGTGCCTTTCTAAATAGTGGCTGTGAAGATAAATGAGAGTGGTACTTATTTGCTGTTCACACTGTTACTCAGAACAATCCACAGGCGGCTGTCTCTCCCTGTTTATGAATCATGTGACCTCCCCCTTAATCTCACAAGTCTAAAGCTAAAGAGGGAAGCTTTTATGTTTCATAAAAAAGCTTTAATTCTGGCGACTACGTACTCCTCCTGCAGAGGCTCTTTAACCTGCAGTGTGCACAAAGATGATACAGAGATACCCTCAACTCCATTAAGAATACCAACTCTGCTTCTTTACACAGAATCCAACTGGCCAGCATAATGATGTGTGATTTTTGATAGTCTGGGTATTCTGAAATCAGAGGCATCAAAACTAATGCATTTAGAAACACTGCTTGTCCAAAACTCTGGGGCTGAGTTGTATTATGAGAGGGCAAAAACTATGATGTTTGGAACAGAGGATGTTGTTACAAGCATCCACTTCAGTCAAGACTTACTTACCAGAGGTGTCTGCAAAACTTGTCAATGCTTCCAGTTCCACCCGGTCATTGGTCCAAGAAAAGAAATCCATGCTCTTACTTTTCTCCATTTTTTCTTATTTGTAGTTCTCAGTGTTTGTGAATGGTTACTTTCTAAAGTGTGTTCATTTGGACAGGGATTATGACTGATACAGAGATAAAACACGAGGCAGAGCAACACTTCAACCAAATTGTGACAATAAAAATCTTTGAATCCTTGAGCAGGCCGCAAAAGTGGCTTCAGATGTTCTTTATTGAAGCCAGGAACGATGTAGAAATGTGTCTTGTTGACCTTGATGGAACAATTTGTCAACATAGTGTTAATTTTTATGGCACTGTCTTCTACACCTTGAGGATAAAGGAATGTGGCTCTGGTGAGACATTTGCAACATGTATGGATTTATGTGATAGTGGGAAAAGCGTTTTTTTTGGTTTGTTTTGAACTGATTTTCTCTCCTGGATTTCCAGACAAATCTAAAACCAATTTTCTCAAGCTGTGGAAAAAGTCACAGCTCAGCTTGTTGTTGTATTTCACCTGTTACAAACCATTTTGTAAAAGTGTGTTTGTGTACGTGTGTTCTGCAACATTTTCCCCAAAGATCAGTGACTTGCCATCAAGCTGCTACAGCAAGTTTCAGTGAGTCACACTGAACAGCCAAAACTTTTCTTTATCAATAAAACATCCCATTTTCTTACTCAGTAAAATATTTATACAGTGAGAACCTCAGGCTTTAATCCACGATTAGCAAACAAGGCATTTGTTGGTTCCCCCTTAATAATGTGGCTTTTATCTGCTTGATCCAAATCGAAACTCTCAGCAAAATCTTAAAAATAAATAAATAAGTATCTAATTCAAGAACAAAGGACAAATAGTGTAATCAAAGAGCCACTTGCATTAGTTTGTTGGCAAGACGTGTTAGTTAAAGATAGGATGGACCATTCTACTCTTAAGTGGACAAATCAAACGTTGAATGGGAATCGCTGATGGGCGTAAACTGGAGGAGGTAACAGTGAATGAGACTCATTGGCCTCATTGTCTCACCTGTAGCTTCTGTAACGAGAGAGGACGAAGCATAAAGAATAGGTTTTTATGGATGGGATGTGAGAACTGAAAAAGTGGAGACGAAATACTTCAGACACACTGATACACAAATCAAACAGGATGTTGTTTGTTGTAACTCGGGCTCAGAAACAAACTTCCTCACCTCATTACTCTGACTTAATGAATTTGCTTAGTTCCGGGTTGTTGGTTCAGCCTTCGCGTCGTGAAATTGACATTAGGGCGGAATGTATATGAATATGTTATTATCACACTGATATTCAAGTGTTTATGTTTCTGATTGATTCTGATATTAGGTTTTAATTTGTTAATAGATGATGATGATAATAATTAAATGGGGAGAATTGTCAGGTGAGACTTTGATACTGCACAGACTCCAAATTATGTCAAGATGGCCGCGTTCTTATCCGGGATATTTTGGCTTCACACTATAGCAACAAGCTTAACTTGTGTGTGAATCTGAATAAAAGTAAAAAGTGTTGCATAGTCACAATTCATAATTTTAATTTAAACTGCATTTGAGATAAAATAATGCATCTCTCTCTAAACAGTCTGGAACTTAAACATCACAAAAATGAAAGTTTTGTAGCAGAACATGCACTCTTCAGCATCAGAGCAGCTCATCACGACCGCCCCTCTTAGCAACACTACAGCCGACAGGTGTTCCCATGTGAAATGTGAGCAGCCATTGATCAGGACTGAGCTGGAGGCCAGGCGGGGCATCTGACACCACCCCAGCAGATCTTTTAACGCGGCGGCTCCAGTTACTAAGGCAGAGGACAAAATGAGAAAGACATCCCTTGTGCTTGTCAGTGGCTGAAAGGCCAGGAGAGTGTCCTTTAATAATAGATCCATGCAGAGAGGTGAGGTGAATCACTCCAGCCGAGGCCGTAATCAATCCCCTGCTCGTAGACTCCCATCCAAAACCAAGGCCTTCAACTTTAACACTGGAAAGGAACAGCACAAAAATTAGAAAATTAGAATTCAGAAAGCTGCCTCAATCCTCTGTGACAGCCAATAAAAAACAGCATGTTAAGTATGTGATGAATATTTAATAGCCAAGCTGATTATTCAGACCTGGCTGCTGCAGGTTCCCTGGACCATGAAACAAAAGATCATCTGCAGCTGATCAGACAGAGCAGGAGAGTTAGAGCTGAGATTGTTAAAGTGATAAAATAGAGTCCAAACTGCAAAAAGGACTTTTTATAAGAAATCTTCCTGTTTCTTGCTGCAGAGCAAAGGTGCCCCACGACACCAGCAAGCAAGCAAGTCGAACATTTGAACATTTATTCCAGTAATAACTTTAACTCAACAAATGTAGAACTAAATTATTTTTTTTAGATCAATTGTATTTGCGATTCTGCAAATCTGAAGACTATATCCCAAATTAGACTGATGACAGAGCTGTCGTTTTTGCAGCCAGCAAGATTAAAAAACAGTTGTGTATCTATAATTATGGTTTAAAGGAAATAGTGTGTCTGCAGAATACACGGTGATGAATGGATTGTTTTTCTTATTTTGTTAATTAAGTGAGTTTTGTTTTTAAGTTTAATTTGTCTCCTGTCTGTCCTCGCCCTTTATCACACTTGTCTCTAGACTGTTAATTAAGCCGGTTGTTTTAACATGAAGAACATCACTTTTAATTCCCACCCTGAATCCTAATGTTGGCTCAAGCCAGCCAGTGCATTTTTATTTCTACAAGCATTGGGAGTTTCAAGGTGCTTGTGTGAAGAGTTGATTTTCCT